TATGTGTATAAGTATGTGTCCACAATGCTTGACTAAAGCATACTCTAGAGCTGAGATTGTCATGTGTTTTTAGCATTGATGAGAGGTTTAGAATATGCTCTTAAAGCTGAGAGCTATATGAGTTATTATATCCTTGAACTTATAGCTTCAAAGTATATATAAGCAACAAAAGTTTACATAAACCATATATGATTCCTTCAGATAGAGAGGTAAAAAAAAGAAGAGAGAGAGACAAAAAGATTGGGATAGGATGACTTTACTCAGAGTTATATAATTTTAGTAAGCTCTATTTTTAAATCAAAACCCATCTACTTTATAATATACCCTGTTCAGAGTTGAACAATTTTGATAGGGTATTCGCATTGAATACTTTTAGCGGCGCCATCAAATATACTTTACAATTTGCTGCCCTTTCAAAGTGTAAATTTATCAATCATACGCCATGGTTGCCAGCCAAGCGACGCGCTTACAACACGTACGCCGCGAGCATGAGTGTCTGTGTGTGTGTGTGCCTGTATCTGTGTATGTATATGTAGCCAGACACACGTATAAACTGCTTTCAATACACGCACGCTTGTCTTTATGCATTAATTTACTCCATGCCAAGCTTAATGCTGCGCAAAATATATTTTATTTTAATTTTTGCGCTTTTTTTTGTATTTAAAAATAAAGAAATATTATAATTTACAGCGCGCTAACGCTGTTGTTGTTGTTGGTTGTGTACTATATTTAAAATATGCACAACAACTAAAAGAATTTTTCACACAAATTGAGTTTGCTCCGCTTACAGCAAAAGTCGCTATCGCTGATGCAGTCGGCGTCGCTGTCTCCGTCGCCGTCGACGTCATTGTCGCTGCTTTTGGCATTGCCAATTTTGCTGCCAGTCATCGGTCGCTGCCATTGACGACATGGAAAATTTGCTGCCATTGCCACGTCACTCATAAAATACAAGCATTAAAAATAAAGAAGGGGAAACAAAAAAAAAGTAAAAAAATATTAAAATAAAAAAAAGAGGAAGACAAGCCCAGCGCTAGGATGTTGGCTGCCTGGCATAATTTAATAGAGTCGGTAATATCAATAAATTTTAAAAGCCTTTTAATGCGCATCGATAAAAATAACCATGGAACATCTTTCTGCGACATAATTATGCTGAAGCGTTGACAGCATTGTTTCGAATTGAGTTCGAGTCTGAGCTGTCGCCCAGAAAGATGCCAGCGGCAGCTTTTAGCCTGTGCAAGGAATATTAAGTGCCCTAAGCCGGATATGACACAAAACACATCATAGTTGAAGAGGATAAGAGCTTAAATCTAGCTTAGATATGTGTGTTTAATATTTTTTAAAATTTCCCACAACATTATCGGGAATTTAAGCTAAGATGTGCTTTTGAATATTTTATCTATGGCATTGATAGCTTATGTTGAAAATAATATAAGTTTAAGAAATTCTTTAACAACAAATGCCAAAAATAATGCGAAAAACATATAAAAATATAATATAAGAATATCTAAAATTATATAAAATATAATTTTCTAAATAAATAATTACTAAAAAAATAATGTATAATTTATAATGAAAAATAAAAAATTATTGGATCAATAAAACTTGATTTATAAAATTAAATTAATGAAAAAATGAATGAAAGTGAATTAAGAAGCTAATATTAATTAAATAAATAATTAAATATATAATATATAATTAAAGAATTAATTATAATGCTATTAAATTAATTACATTATTATTATTATTTTTTCCAAATTAAATAAAAACCAAAGCCAAATAAAAACTTAACTCAGCCAAACTAAATTTGATTTGCTGCTTGTTAACAATTTTGCTATTCAATTTGCCCAGCTACACACACACACACACACACACAATGGCGGCTATTATTTGAGTTGAATGTAAAATTTAGTGGATTATTGCATGCATTTGCGGAGTATTTAAAATAATTTTACGAATTTTATGTACTCCGTTTAAGCCACAAAATTTAAATGGGTTTGCCTTTCCAGTCGGGAGCTTTAGAATATTTGTAGCATACTTTTGCGCGCTCATGCACACTAAACCAATGCCCCTCAACTAGTAAGCGGCACTCGCACGCTATGAAATCAACTCAACAACATGTTCAGCTCCGGCTAAGCCCCCATGGAAATTTACTCGGAGCCACAAAACAACAAAAACAAAAATAAAAAAAAAAGAAGAGAAAGGAAAGGAAAAAAAGGAAAATTATAATAAGTAGTAGTGCGGCGATGGCAACGATAAAAAGTGTTGAGCGCTGTCGTTCATATGCAATGGAAACAAAGCAACAAAACCGCAAACAGGCATGCCCCAAACCCCACCCACCCGCTGCAACGGCACTGCAGCTGGCCAGCCAAGCAGCCAAACCAGCCACCATCAGCCACCAGCAGCTGTTGCCACCAAAGACAATGCCAGCGCATGCATCCCTTGCTGAAATGCAGCCAACGAAAATGCTTGGCATTAAGGGCATGCCAAGCGAGAGCTGGCCAACAGAACTGAGAAAAGTGGATGCGACGACATGTGCAAACTTATTGAATATGAAATACCCTGTAATTATAGAAATTAAAGGAGGGTGCTTAAAGTTTAATTACATAATATATTGTTGGCTTAACTTTTATGAAAGTTTTTTGAGTAATGAAAATTCTGAATTTTAATAACTAATCATCAAACTTCTTTTTTTTTATTATTTTAAATTAATTATATGATAATTTGAAACTAAAATCATTGGTTTGATTAGAGTCTCGGCGAAAGAGAGAAATGATTTCTGATAGAGCGTTTATAGGAAGATGTCTATTTATACATAATATGCTTTTATTTATTTAACGGGGTATATTTTTTTGCTTTTCTCAAAATGCGAGTAGCAGACAGTAGTAGGCGTGGCAGACACCATCAATAGCTAAATCGAACAATCCCTGGCTGAATGTCTGCCCACCTGTTCGTATGTGTAAAAGCGTTGAATTTCTAGAAAATTTCCATAATTGCTTTACGAAATTTAACAACAATAATATAGAAAAAATAATAAAAAATAAAATAAATGTAAGAAATGTAATTGAAAACATATTGTATATTCATTATAAATTTTATATAAATACACACATAAAAATATTTATCTTGAACTGGAATCTCTTTAGCATTCAGAGCTAAAAGTCGTATTAAATTTGCCAATATGAAAAACTTGCCGTCATCAAATTCAATTCGCCAGACTGATATAATAATAAAAGAGCAGAGCAAATACATTTACAAGTCGAAAGGTTGCAATGGATTGGATTGGATTGGATTGAAGGCTTTGCGAGTGCAGCAGCCGAGTTGGCCTGGTTCGGTCGCAGCAGTTGCAGTTGCAACTTTGGTTACGGTTTGTTGCTCTGCTGCACGGCACTGTCGAGTGCCGTTGGCTTATAAAATATTTAAATATTTTGTGGCAATGGCCGCAACATATTTGCACAGTGCCTCTGCTGAGTTGGCTAAGAAAGCTGCTTGGGCGCACTTCACTAAAGTTCAAGTGGCGACGGCTCAGCGTATGCTATTAATATTGTGCGACAGCTGTTGGACTGTTTAAATATTTATGCAATACGCATAAAGTATGGCGACAACGCGGCTTATCAGCTGGCGAGGGGTTCTGAGAGAGAGAGAGGGAGATAGAGAGAGACACAAAGAGCCAAGGATGATGGGCAAGCGTTGTCATTGTCATTGGTTCCGCAGTTGCCGCTTGATATGCTAATATGGTTATGGTTACGGCTGCCGCTGCCGCTGCCGCTGCCGCTGCTGATGCTGCTTCTATTCTTTGCGGTTGTCCTTGTCGTTGGCTCAGAAAATTTCATTATGCCAATTACTTGCATCAAAGCTGCTGGGATAATTGACTTTGCTTAGCGGCTGGCTGTGTTAGAGTCAAGACCTTCGCAGACACCATTCAGCTCAGTTTAAAGCACTTGCATAAGACGCTTTTGCACATTAGTTGTCCTCTCTCTCTCTCTCTCTCTCTGTGTGTGTGTGTGTGTATGTGTGTGGCCTTATTTGGAAGCATAAAATAATTAAACTTAATTGACAGTTTTTGGGCAACACCTTTAGTCGCAGCCTTGTGCATCCTTTAATCTAATGATCTCAACTTTGCCAGCAAGTGCCTGGTTAGCTTTTAGTAAAGTTGGGCGATAATTTCAACTATAGTCAACAACTTTACTTTTAGAATATATAAGCTATGTAGCTTTTGAGCTCTTAGTTTGATGTTGAAAAAATTAGCTGCAACTAGAAGTTTAATATATTCTGTAAAAACGAAGTGAAAAGAAGTGTAATAAAAGTTTACAAAAAAATTTAAGAAGTGTTTATACAAAAGTTATTATTTGCTCTATAAATATATTTTACACTGATTTCCTTTTTTCAATGGGTTCAGGGTATAAAAATACCATATAAACATATTATAACAAAAAATTAAAAAAATAGGTGTAAATATTAAAAAAGTTTTCAAATTAAAATATATATATATATTTTTTTGTAATTAATTGAATACGTATTTTAATACAAAAAATAATTTGTGCAATATATAGAAAAAAAAATTGACAATTTTTGTATTTTTAATTAAAATATATTTCTATCAATTATAATTATTAAATTCATAATATTTCAAATACAAAATAATAATTTGCTATGTATACAAAATTGTATTCATACATTTTTATTAAATATATATTCATGTATATATTTTTATTAATTTTTTTTTTTTAATCTAACCAACCAACAGAAGTATTTATGTTAATTTTTATTATGTTGAATCTGATTATATTATTCAATTTTCTACGATTCTCTATTAACAAGTACTCCGGCTAATTTCAATCAAACATTTCAAGCTGCTCACGGATTTACTCTATTTTCGTGAACAGTTTGAAATTAGTTGATTTTAGTTGTGTTTCGTAGTGTAGTTTTTAATTTTTTCCCTAAATTTAATTATATTTTTTTATTTTGTGGCTGCAAATTTTTGTTTATAAATTTGTACGTGGAGTTTGATGGTTTGATTATCTTTCTCCTATCACTGATTTGATAATTGGAAAATATGAAAATCTATCCAAATGGTGATGCTTGGTTTTACGTGGACAAGCCAGGCTGCTGGGGGAAGTACGAGCGATACTCTCCGCAGCACAGCTGGAAACCGTTGATCCGGCCAATAAGGCCGAAGATCATGTACCATTGGCATGACTACGATGGCGTTAAGAAGGCGGAGATAAAGCAAAAAGATCTCTACTTTGACAACTGGCAGACGTCTCGAATTCGCGCACAGGCCTGCCTGGGCATGCTCTATGCCACTGGCTATCGGTTCATCAAGCTCAGCATGGCCCCACCGGCTGGCTTCAAGTGTGCTCCGCTTCCTGTCAATCTGGTCGGTGCCTATTACGTTAACGGTAAGTGTTATGCGCTTTCAAACAAACTTATGCTTTACAGCTTAATCTAAAAATAAAACAACCTATAGAGCATCTAAAGCAATTGAAGAGAGAAGCAAATGCGGCAAAGAAAGCCGCTAAATTGGCAGCCCTGGCCATTAAGAAGGCTGAGCTCGCTTATAAGAACAGAGGCAAGAAGCGACCAAGACCTGGATAATAATCTCGAAATAAAGTGAATGCAACCGAGGGGAAATTCATGTTCACTTTTCACAATGCTCTCTCAATTCTTTAGTGTCAATAAATAATCACCTTTGGATACAAATGCCCAATGTTTATTTTATTCTCTTATGCCTTCTCGTTGGCTTAGTGAATTTCATTATGCCAATTAATTGCATCAAAGCTGCTGGGATAATTGACTTTGCTTAGCGACTGTCAGAGGCATACACCACTTGCATTGGGCGATAAGTGTGTGTGTGTGGTTCCATTTAATTAAACTTAATTGGCAGTTTTCGGGCAACACCTTTAGTCTCAGCCTTCTACATGCTTTAATCTAATGACCTTAAAGTTAAAGAATGCCGATAATTTGGGCTGCATTCAACTACATATACCAGACTACGTCTATGTTATGAAGTTATTCATTTATCATTTAGATTTTTAACCATTCCAATAATTATTGCAATAAAATTATATATACTAATAATAAATGAATAAGGCTTTGCATTGATCATTTTAGGCTTTGAGCGAACGAGTTAAAAGGGCAATGCAAATGGTCTTCACATACCCATACACAAACACAGACTCAGTTCTATTACGCCATCGATATATACACAGCCAATACATACCAATACTTATACACAACACTTTATGCTCCATACTGTACATATTATATTTACTGAATAAATATAATAGATCCTATATTTATTGTAAATACCTCATATATAGTGTTTGTTTAAGAAGAACAATTAAATTTAAGCACACATTTCAAGCTCTTTGAGTAAGCATTGATTTTTCCCTTTGTTTATTGTTGGCTTATAAAATATTTTCTCCAAAATTGTTATTTTATTTTCCTTGGTGCTTCTAAACAAATTTCTGCGTATAAATTTTTCTATCCATTCTTTAAATTTGTTCTTTGATTTTTGGAAAATATGAGAATCTATCCAAATGCTGATATTTGGTTTTTCGTCGACAAGCCAGGCTGCTGGGGCAAGTACGAGAAGTATGCCCCGCACCACAGCTGGAAATTGCCGGTGCGGCCATTCACGCCGAAGGTCATGTACCACTGGCGCGATCTCGATGGTGTCAAGAAGCCGGAGATAAAGCGAAAGGATCTCTACTTCGATAACTGGCCGAAGTCTCGAATTCGCGCACAGGCCTGCCTGGGCATGCTCTATGCCACTGGCTATCGGTTCATTAGGATCTGCAAGGCACCACCGGCTGGCTTCAAGTGTGCACCACTTCCGGTCAATCTGGTCGGCGCCTATCAGGTCAACGGTAAATCTTTCGCATTGTGCAATATAACCTCTATTATATCTCTATCCTAAACATTCTAGCACATTTGAAACAACTGAGGAAAGAAGAGAAGGCTGCAAAGAAAGCTGCTAAAAAGGCAGCAAAGGATGCCAAGAAAGCAGCTGAGGCATTTAAGAATAGAGGCAAAAAGCGAGGAAGATCGTAGACAAGAATTAAATTGGATGCAAGCTGAGGAAAATTCTAGCAAATTATTTCTCAGTTCATTCGCAGCAATAGACATTCTGATGCAGCTTTGGATACAAATTCTCAATGTTTTCTTGGGTAAGTAGGAATAGAGAAATAGTTTATTTATTTATTTTTTTAAAATTGTTTAATATTATTTTTCTAGCTTTAATTCACATCAGCTGACTGAGTATGACATCAAGTTTTGATACTACCTAACTTGATTCAATTGTAGCCAGAATGGTGTTGTTGAAGAGTATATAGCCGGTAAAAGAAGTGCATAGTATATATGTATATAACAGGCAATGGAAGCATAGCAACAGTCGAGTGGATTTGGTACAGCAAAAGTTTGTATTTATTGTATTTTATTTTTAATATTACCTTACACTAAAACTTCTCCCCTGCTTACAGCTCATTTTCCGCAGATAATCTGAAAGCAATCTATTTATTATGGCAAGAGAAAAGTCAGAGAAGAAGAAGAGAATGTGATTAAATTTTGTGTTATATTGAGGCATAAAAGATGTGTAGAGAAGTATCCGTAAACTGCCGAAATTGCCTGGAATGGTCTAGCAGGCAGAGAAAAATTAAATCGATAATTAAGTATTGGATAGATGCAGTCGATATTATCGATATTTAAATTAAGTAGAAATCCTATACATGGATCGATCTTGCACTTAAATTCACCAAATTCACGTTTTTAGCCCATATAGTCCCCATTTAGTTCAAGTTTGTTCAAATAATCGATATAATAAATAAAAAATATATATTTGTACACAAATTGAGCACAGATTAAATTTGAGACAACCCACAATATTAAGGATTAAATTAAGTGTTCTCGATGCATAAAAGGAAAGTGTATGCTTAAAAAAAAAAAATTAAGAAACAAAAAATATAAAATACAAAATTATATAACATACATACATATAGGCATACAGATTAAATTTTAAATAAAAAATATAAAGCATATTGAAGAAAAGTATAATTAACTACACACAAAAGTACGGACAAAAAAATACAATAAATAAAATAAAAAAAAAAATAATATAATATTTAAGTTAATTTTATCTTTATTTTTTTGTTAGCTTACAAAAAATATATGTGAAAATTAAATTAAAATATAAAAATCATAAATAAAGAACGTACCTTTAACGGGCAAAAAAGGGAAAAAAGTTAAATCATAATTTAAATCGTATTAATTTACGTATAATTATCGCCATACAAAAGTCATATTTGGTGCAATTCATTAGGCAAGAACCGAGAGAAGAAAGAATGAATACTATGGCATGTCTATATGAGTATCCATATATGTGAATGAATGAATACTATGTATGAATGAATGAATACTTTGGTATGTGTGTATGCATGTAAATACATACATTTATCAATGTAATTTTATCGGCCGCATAATTAGCGTAGCCAAGCGCACTGATTAACTTGCATTCAACGATTTTCAATTGAATTTTGCAGTTCGTTGATTCGAACCAAAAAAACAAAAAAAGAAGGAAGATATATATGTACATATATACGTATGTATGTTGAAAATAAAGGGAAACACACGAGACTGTGATGCAAATGCAATCATCCTAGCACCCAATGTGGGTGTGGTCTGCACTGTGGGATAGGTTAATAAAAATACAAAGCAGCGCAAGAAAAAAAAAAAAAAAAAATACGAAAACGAAATGCAAAATATGCAGACAGGCGAATGATGAATGTGAATGTGAAATGTGCCATTAATTAATTCGATTAAATGCAGCAATGCAGGCAATCAGCCAAAAAGGCAGCGTGAAGCAATAAAGCACGACAGGAGTACACGGGACACTCACACACACGTACACACACATACACACACAGAGTCAGTTAAGAGTCAGTCAATCAACGCAACAGCCACAAATGACTGGAGAAGCTGTTGCATCATCAATGGACTGCGAGCTGAATGGCTTGGCGGGGAGGGCACTCATTAAGCATTAAGACTGTAGCCCGGAACGCTGTTCGTTACAGTTATTAATGGAGCGCATAAGCCGTAATACTACAGCATCTTAATTTTATAAGATGCTGAAGAATTTTTGCACATTACACTAAAATTTAAGGTATAAATGTATTTATTTATTTATCTATCTTTTGAGGAAGCGAATATTCCGAAGATTAATTTACATTAAAAAATAAAAATCAAAAATAAATGTAGATATATTTGATATTAAATATATATATTTTACATTTAATAATAATATTTGTAGGTCAATTTAATATTGTTGTTTTATTTGTTATATTTTTTATATTGAATACAAATATTTGTAGAGTAATTTAATATTATTGTTTCGTTTTATATAATTTTTACATTGAATATAATCTTTAAAAGCTAGTTGTTTATTTAAAAAAATGCAAAAAAATATTTTATAAATTAAATTGCTTTGCCTTTATTGTCATACTTTATTCTCCTACTATGATAAAAATTGTTTGTCTGTTATGCCTTGGAGTATTCAAAGAATAGAATAGAATAATAGTGAAAATTTTAGGAAAAGTTTTTAGACTTTGATTTTCTTATCAAAGCTAGAAACCTAAAAGTGCGCTCGAAATATGTATAAATTTCATTCTATTATAATGTATGTGTCTGGGCAAGTTTAGTCTGGGAAGACATTCATTCACAACACAATATTATATTACATATTTTTAGCTAAGTTTGCAAATTTCTCATATATATTTAACTCAAGTAAAATTACAATTGCCCCCTAGCAAGATGGATGCGAAGGAGAACGAGGTAAAACTCTCCGCGGATGAGCGTCAGTTCTTTGTTGCAACTCGCATGAGTTTGCCGCTGTTTATGCTCTCGCGTATGTATATGGAATACAAATATAATATATGATATTTCTTAAGGGCTAACATTTGATTTTAGGTAATCGTCTGCGTGAGGACCATTTGGAGAGTGTACAAAAACAGTTTAAGCTAGCAGGTGGACATTACAATGCGTATTGCCAGCAAGGTAAATGTGACTAAAGATTTGAAATATAGATTATATGAAGGATTTATTATATATGTATATTGACTTACAGAAAATCGTAGAGAGGAATTTAGTGCCGCCACCTACAATCATTATAGACATGTGACGGGCTTTGAGAAGACGCCGGCCACTCCATATCCTCCCAAGCGTCCGCTGCGCTCCAATCGGGAGATGACCACATGGCGTGACTATCAGCATGCGCCGAATCGATATGGCGTGCTGCCCGAGCCATATAAGAGCAGGATGGGCTCCAAGGGCTCCGTCTTTGCTAAAATGCACGTGAACAAAAGCCGACTGAGCATCAAGCCGCCGCCGCCGAAGTTCTACGAGGTGCCATCGGAAATCGAGCGCTTCTTCAGGCCGGAGAACAAGCAAAAGGGCATATTCTTAACAAGTAAGTAAAGCAAGAGATATATATATATATAATATACTATTTATTTCTCTTCTTAACTCTGCCTGCTAGATGCACGTGAGCGTCGTCCCTCGTCACGTCTCATGGTATCCGATGCGACCATGTGCTGGCGCAATCCGAGCGATCCGGGTCCCTGTGAAACCTACTACAATCGCTTTGAGATTCAGTCGATCGTGTCGCCCAAGATCAAGGAAAAGCCCGACAATCCCCACTTGTTTCTGCGCCACTCCTGTGTGCCAACGAAGCGCAGCCGAATCCTGCGGCCCCACATCAGCTTCGAGCCGTGCCCGGGACGCTATGACATACGCTATCCGAACGTGTGCGCCTGTGAGCGGGGCAAGAAGACGGTGCCCCGCCTGACCCTTCACATTGAGACACAGAAGCGGTACAAGTTCCGACGCTTGCCCTACGTCAAGATCAAAAAGCGCAATTATTGTGAGCCCGACTGGCGTCACGTTATCGGCAACGGGCACAGGCGCCTCTTCAAGATGGGCAAACACGACTTGCCCAAGCCGCAGATGAAGAAGGTGGAGAAGAAGGGCGGCAAGAAGGCCGAGAAGCAGCTGAAGATGTTCGCTGATGCCAAGTACTTGAATATGCTGGTCAATCCAAGGCACTTGTCGATATCAGTGCGCGACTTCCCGGCCCCGCCCTATGTGCCCCGCATCGTCTACAATTGCATTGCCAAGCGGGTGATACGCAAGCAGTTGCGCAATAATAAGAAAATCGCCTTTATGAGCGGCCAGGAGCGCTGGAAGGATGGCGTGCGTGTGCTACAGATGACCCAGCGCCAGCTGGAGGAGCTTAAGGCGCGCCTGCCCGAGGATCGTCGCCTCGAGGATCATCCGATCAATCTGCGCGCCTCGAAGATGCTCAGCCGCCTGTTCATCGTGCCCGACCGCATGCGCACAACCTATGTACCCATGCTGCGGAAGCGACTCTTCAAGTTCCTGCCCATACCGGGTGCTCGGGTGCTGGTCACCGATAGCGATATACGCCCGGACTTGCCATTCGATCGCGACAATCCGACGGGCATGTACAATGTGAAAATAGACGAGACGAAATTCTTTCGGGATTCGGTGCTGCTGGAGATGGAGCAGCAACGTCTGGGCATCAAGGTACAGGTCGAGGAGAAGTCCTTGGAGCAGTCCATGAGCGGCATCAGCATGACGGCTTCAATGGCCTCGGGCTCGCCCAAGCCGTCGGAACAAAACGTCGCTAGATTAAGCAATAATATGGAAGCCAATAGATTAAGCAATAATATGGAAGCCAAGCCGGCAGAGTAATAAGGTGTGTGTATGTGTGCGTGTGTGGTCTCTGTGCGCTCTACAGCATTTGAGATCGCGCCTGAGCATCACGTATACATAGTTCTATGATTTATGCGCCATGCTCCAGTAAATTTTAAAGCCAGCTAAACTCTCTGTGCTGCACAGTGGCGACTCCTGGCGTTGGCTGCCATAAAGCAGCAAAACGTAACTTTTGACCATAAAATAAATAACTTTTCAGTTGTCCGTCGCCCAAGCTTGGTTTCCGTCTCTCTCAGTCTGTGTATGTGTGTGTGTGTGTGTGTGTGTATGTGTGTGTGTGTGGCCAAAAACCAGCAGAAAAGCCAGCACGAAATAATTAAGTTTTCCAACGTTTTGCGGAATCTGTGCCGGGTCCGGGATTTCGTAGCTACGGACGTAGCCGTAACGGCTACGGTCTACGTGTGGCCCGCTACATGTGGCCATTAAAATTACGAGCATATCTCATATCTACTTGCTTAGATTGTAAAACATAATCTGTTATCAATTATTTTAGCTGCGTGCCTTTTTGGCCAGGGCGTGGTGGGCGTGGCCAGCAACGGACCTTTTGCCCTTCGGCAGCCGTCGGGGCAGTCGGGGTAAACTTGCAAAAGCGCTCACGTTGCATTTGCCAAAGCAAAAAGAAAACTTTTCACACACTATTTATGACTTAGTTAAAATTTTGGCATGTAAGCAATTTCATTTGCTGCGCCTTAGCATCTGGCTCATAAAAATGGCCATCCTAATCGATTCTCGACTCGACTCTTTGCTCGTTGCGTGAATGTGAATGAATGAGTCTGTGAGTGCAAGTGTGAGTGCAAGTGAGAGTGTGAGTCAATGAACAAGTAAAGCGAGTGCAGAAGTTAATTGAGTTTTGTGAGCCAAAGGCATTGATAGGCAGCAGCAAAGTCAGCAGAAAGTAACTAAATAAAACTAAAGTTCAAGGGAATGAATCAGGAATCTGATTTGCTGTGAGTACTGAGTGCTAAAAGTTTGTCTAAGTTTTAAATATAGGTATTTGTGTGGATGTGGGTGCTGCTTAGATAATGTGATTTACTCCTAAAATAAGAAATACACCTTATTAATCTGAGCAATTGAAGTCTAAGAAAATAATAATGACTTCATAAAATAATATAAAGTCATTCGCTTCACTAAAAATTTTTTTTTAAATTTTTAAATAGTCCGTTATTAAAAAAAAAAAAATATAATAAAATAAAATTTATTAAAATCTGAATTTTTAAATAAATATATTTATTTTCAAGAAAATAAAAATTTAACAAATAATAAAATGTAAATTTTTCTTTACTTAAAGAGATTTAAAACTATGAAAAATATTTAATTGATACATTATTTGTTTACTTAACAGAAACATATGAGCTTGTAAAGTGAAACTTAAATTTAAAAAATATTTAAATATATTAAAAAGCGTTGTTATTTATTTTAGTCCTTCATTTTAAGAAAAAAGATATTAGAAAAAAAGAAAGGACGAAATTTATTTAGTAAACTTTTAATTAAACTTCGGCTCCAAAATCCAATAAAAACGAGGTAAATTTACAATTTATAAATATTTATTTAATAGTAATTTTGATCACATAATCTTCTGCAATATATTTAATTCTTAGCTCAATGTTAATTGAAAAAAATTTGAGCTTTAAGCCACCAAAAGATCTAGTTCAATTTATGGGTCATAGTGAATCCTCTGGTTGTTCCGATTATAATCAAAATTTTAATTTGAAAAGTCAAATAGCCAATTGAAATATGATTTGTGGGGAAAACTCAAAGAGTTCGCTGTTATAGCATGCAAAGTTTTTTTTTTCACTCTCCTCTTTTGTGTTATATGAAAGTAGTTACAGCGAAAGGTTCAAGCCATAGCAGCACTGCCAGCACATGTTGCCTTTGTTGTTGTGTGCGTGTGTGTGTGAGTGTGGGAAGAACAAAAATGTAACGTGTAGCAAGCTGGAATACAAAGCTCCCATTCAATGCATTTTGTTTACCAGCTGCTGGCAGCTGATTAACAGTGACAGGAACGCCCCAACATGTTCAGACTCCAACTTTTCCCAAAGAAAATTATTATGGTTAATGTTGTGCGGCATTACTGTTGTTGTTACTGTTGCTGCTGTTGTTGCTGCTGCTGCTGTAGACGTTGGCAGTGCAAATATTTTACACGCCACAAACACAATCACAAAGCCCAAGCCAAAGTGCACAAGTAAAAGTAAATTATAAGCAAAAGGCAACAATGCGACGCAATGTTGAAATGCAGCTGATTGTGCGCGAAAAGTTGCTTTTCTTTTTTTTTTTTTTGTCCCCCCATCCTGCTCGTCATTACTTTTTGTGTGGCGAGGCAGAATCACGGAGAATTGTGGAGAATAGGAGCGAGGACAAGCCAGCAAGCAGGCATGCCGGCAAGCAGCAGAACGGAAAGACAGTGCACGCTTTTCGGTTAACATGAGTTATTATTGCAAAGTGGGCGGCGAGCCAAGCCAAGCCAAGTCAAGTCAGCCAGCCAGGCAGTCAGGCAGCGTCTTGCCAACTTGCCAACTGGTTCAAGATGAAGCCATTGTGGCACGCGGACTGGCTGGCGTTGCCTTTTGTCCTCCACGGAGTGAAACCTATACGCGAGCGCGTGCGCCATCGTCCTTGCCCAGGCCCAGACGTAGCTGCAGCTAGATATGGCATTACATTTGGCACACGCTTCGAGGGGAGCTTTTACTGCATCATGATGAGCTGATTAAAGATTTCCAGCTGAGATCCTTTTTTAATAAATTGTGGTACAGCAAAAAAAAAGAAATAAAATATATAGAAAACCTGTTATTGTATTGCGGTTTGTTATCTTTATTCGTCTTGCAGGTACAGTTGTGTCTGTTGCTTATAATATTTTGCATATTTGATAGAGCTGAACTATAAAATTTGAGTTTCAAATATTCCGATAGAAACAATTTTCGAATAAATTGAAATCCTTTTCAATTAAATATTGTTTGAAAACTTATTTTTTTTTATTAAATATATACATAATAATAACTTTTATTTTAACGTTATTTAAAAAAAAATACTTTTAATTTATTTTTTTTTTAATAAAAAATTAATTTGTATATATTTTTAACTAATTTAGAAAACATTTCATATACAAATTTATATTGAAAACTATTATATATTATTATTATTTATTTATTTATTTTTTTTATTAATTATTAAAGAATAAAAATGAGCTTTATTTTATTAAAAAAAAAAAAAAAAAACAAAATCTTCATTCCATATTATTATTAGTCTTACATTCTATCATCATTATTATTAATATGATTATCCATTTAATTATAAAAAAATACCAAAATAATTGCAAAAACTATTCTATTATTGATTATTATTATTGAAAATAAATCTTAGTCATTTGCATATGTGTAAGTTATACTTCATCGTACTCGCTTCTCAGTCTAGGGTATTGCAAAAATGATATTGCATTGTTTGCACTCGCTGTGCGGCAAAGCTTTGTGCGTCGACAAAACAAATGAGCCGTGGCGCTGGCACAGCGTGCCGCGTTGACTGCAGTCTATGAAAGTTGGCTTTGCCACAGACTGCAGCCATTGTTTGCCGTTTCTCTTGCCGAGATTTCATTCTATTTGGGTCATGGGGTCGTGGCGTGTGCAAATTGCAAGCAGCAGCAGCAGCGGCAGCAGCGGCAGCGGCAGTAGCTTTTGCTGCTTTTACTATGTGCGTGAGTCGTCGTGAGTCGCCGTCCCGACATGTCGACTCAACATTTTCAAATAATTTCTGATTAAGCTCGGGCACCAACTGACGCCCCCGCCGGATTCGCTCCGTTGGCTGTTTGTCCGCGCCGCCATGCTGTGTGACAAACGCAGCGGGCGCAAAGGCAGCTCCGGCAACACGCTGACATATTGCAGCGCATAATTTACCGTTGCTTATGCTTTTTTCGCCGAGTGCAACTAATTTTTGTTTGCTGCAAAGCAAAAGCCACAAAGATTTATGCTCGAGAAATTATGCTTTAAAACTTGAGCGTATGTCTCTCTGTTGCAGTTGTTGCAGTTGCAGCTGCCGCCTGCTTGTTGTTGCTGCAGCTGCATTCGCTTAAGTAATTTAATATACTTTAATGCCAGCTTGCACTCCCTGCTCTTTGTCTTCCACACGCACACGCAAACACACATACACACACACACACACATGCATACATAATGCATATTAGTGTATGCGCATATAAAAGACGTGTATTATGTGAGCGGGGGTATTGCAGCAGCAGCAGCAGCAGAGGCAGCAGCAGCAGCGGCAGCGGCAACAACGAGCAGCGAAATGTTCATAAAAATGTAAATGTTCTAAATGGCATGAGAAAAAGGGACAGTAAGTGAGAAATCATAATAAAAGCGTGTGTAAGGCAACGAGAAAAGAGCGTTGAACCAGAATGTAACACCCAAAGCTTCCAAATTGCGTTTGTTTATATATATGTGTGCGTGTGGTGTGTGTGTGCGCGAATGTAGAATATTGTGAATGTGTGCGTGTGTGTGTGTTAACTCGTAAGTTTTTGCGCTGACATTTTAAGTGCATCTTTGTGAATTATTTAAACAAAGAATAATTACACAAGGCATTATAAATTGTATGTGATAGAGTGCATAAATATGTCTACTTCAAATAACATTCACGACTCAAATCTTTCGCTCTCTCTTTCTCTCTCTGTGTCCTCTGCCTTGCAGTACCACATTTCATTAATATTTAAAGATGTTATCTAGAGTAACAGGGGCCTTTGGCTTAATAATATAATTTATTATATGTATTATAATTATATATAAATTAATATGTACTGGTTTTTTTTGTTCCTATCGTAAGTTACATTATTGGTATACATATTTACATAATTTTTTATTTCTATTTTATATCTTTCATATAAGTGGTATGTCTTAGATTTGTTAAGAAACTCAATTAAATCATGGCATTGCATGTTTATTTATCTTTATACGCATTTGAAGATGAGAGTACAGCGCTGTAGACTACTGAGCTAT